GCGTCGCCTCGATCGATTTACATGAAAAAAATCTTTAGGTACTTTTACAACAAAATCATAGCATCAAAATAAATTTTTAGAAACTCGTACAATTTTTTGACACGGTGATCGATTTAGATAAAAAAAACTTTAGATACTCGTACAATTTTTTGACACGACGATCGATTCTGACGATTGTCATTTCAAAGGTAATTTGACGCCGTTTTTTGGAATCATATGTATGCCATGTGTATACTTATCTAATAAGTAAAGTGTATTCATTTAGAATATTAAGAGATTAATTCAGACGAAAAAAACCAAAATAGGTAGAAAGTATTCTTTAAGATTGTTTCTACAAGTTTTATTTAAAAATTGTAACAGAGAACTATTATTATTATAGGGCCCCTCTCGGACCGCTTGGACGAGTACAGTATAAAAAAGAGCGAGGGACAGTAGGTAGAAAAAACATATGATTTGATTTGTCACGGAAACGTAAAGTTTATTAATAAAAGTGTTTTGTTGAAATTCTTCGAGTTTTATCATAAAGTTTATGGTTCGACACCCAACAAAATAATTATAACGAATCCCCGTCACAAGATATAAATAATTTAAAGTCTAATCTGGCGAGTTGAGTTTGGATGAAACTGTAAACAAAATGTTTAAAAGTGTAATGTAATCATTTAAATTTAAATAAAATTCGTATAGCAGTTAAGTAGTAAAAAAAGTGTAGGTTTTAAAAGCATGAACTTCTGGGAATTCCCTATTTGTATAGTCTGGGAACCACCTACTTTTCTGGGAAACACATATTTTCAAGTTCAATTTATTAGAATATTAATTTTAATAATATTATACTACCATATATTACTCAAATTAAGTTTTCGAATACATAGTAAGTAAAGATAGTTAGAAGATAGAACATATTATAGAGATGCAACCATAGAACGTGTTTGTTATATTTATATGGTGTTGGTAGATAGCATCCAACCGTAAACTGAATATACAACGTAGTACTGTAGCAATCAATATTTTTATTATTTTTGTTACACTAAAATTACTATTTTAGATCTTACTGAACGTAGTAATGTAATAAAATTAATTATTGTACTAATTAACAACCATATAATCGAGAAAAAAAAACGGCGTCAGCTGTGGCATGAAATGAAGATTGCTGTCATTTTATACCGGGTGCGTCTCAAAAGTGGCTCACCGCTATAACTTTTTAATTTTTTTAGATAAAAAAACGAGATTTGGTATGTAAGTATATGACATAAATTGGGAATGATTGACGTATTCAATTGTTTTTGGTCACTTCCTGTTTCACCGAAAATGACTACAACTTTTGATTTTAAATGACACCCCCGGTATATTTTTACATTATTTGATAAAAAATGACACTCTGAATCGAATGACATATCATATGTCAACTTTTGACATTCTCGCTTTAAACAAATTGTTTTTTAAATTTCAATCTAGAGTGCCATGGCTGTATTAAAAACACTAATTTTTTAATCAAGAAGCCTTGGAAAAATAGATTTGATAATCTAATGATTTTCGTGTCTTGTCCGGGCCCGTTGTTATAAGATGCCCAAATCGTATTTTTAATCATATCTCAATTTTTCCAAACGGAACAAGGGAGGCTCGTTAGCATATTTGGAAAAAGCATTTTTTACGAATAATTTGGTACCACACACATGGTATTTCGAGTCAAATTGTCATTATGAACCGCATGTTACTATTTCAAATAAACCATATGAGAAAATGTCAAAAAATTGACATATTATGATGTCATTCTATTGAGGGTGCATCCACACTATCCTAAAAACGGCGTATCGGCGTAACGGCGCGGCGTAACGACCTTGAATAGATTTCCTTGATCATTTTAATAACAAAAACATACCAAAACTCGTTTTTTTATCTGACAAAATAAAAAAGTTGTAGGGGTAAGCAACTTTTGAGACGCACCCGGTATACGACGATCGATTTAAATGAAAATAATTTTTAAATACTTCTACAACGAAGTCATAGTATCGAAATAAATTTCTAGGTAATCGTACAATTTTTTGACACGACGATCGATTTAGACGAAAAAATTTTAGGTACTTCTACAGCGAAATCACAGCATCGAAATAAATTTGTAGTTACTCCTACAATTCTTTGACACGACGCGCTGATCGATTTAGATGAAAAAAAAATTTAGTTACTTCTACAACGAAATCATAGCATCGAAATAAATTTTTAGGTACTCGTACAATTTTTGACCCGCCGATCGAAATAATTTTGTTTCTAATATTTATTAGCCGAACGGACCTTCTTAATATTCTAATTAAAGTATGAGCATTTTGTTTTCTACCAAATATAACACGGCTATATCTTCGTTTCCCTTTAATAGTTTGCTTTACCGTGTTGCCGGTTCTTGGGTCTGAATACATCGATTCAACGTAAATCGGCTTATACACTTATACTAATGTCGAAGGTGGCGCCGCCCGTGACAATACCGGTGTACCATTTTTTCAGGCCCAGCTGAAATTTGGTCAGGGGAAGTGGGGAAACCGTTCTAGACGATAACCACTGAAATCGTACTCAGACCCGACCCCGGGCCTGAAATGTCGAAATCGGGTCTGAGCCCAATGAAGCAACGTAGTTTTTGGGCTCGTATAAGCGGTTTAATAAATCTATATATATATATATATATATATATATATATATATATATATATATGTATATGTATATGTATATGTATATGTATATGTATATGTATATGTATATGTATATATATATATATATATATATATATATATATATATATATATATATATATATATATATATATATATATATTTCGGACAACTCCTTTTTACAGCTCGGGATCTCTACTACCAGAAATCAACCGAAGAATTAAGTTAGCTTGGAGTACTTATGGAAGAAACTCAATCATATTCAAATCTAAGCCACTCTATCTAATGAAGAAAACATTCGACCAATGTGTACTATCTGTCATGACCTATACATACCAAAACCTGGACACTTAAAACTGACATCATAAAGAAACTGCATATCGCACAACGCTCAATGAAAAACGAAATATGCTGGCAATAACCAAGAGAGACCGTAAAAGTAAAGTGTGGATACGACAAAAGACCTAGGTAATAGATGTCATCCACAGAGTCAAGTCCCTCAAATGGCAATGCGCAGGACACCTGGCAAGAAGGACGGACAACAGATGGACCACAAAAATTACAGCATGGTAAGAGAAGAGCTAATTTAGAGACCTAGAGGTAATTAAGAGACCTAGAGGAAGACCCAGCCTCAGATGGGACCATGATATTAGGGAATTAGCAGGGAAAACTTGAGCCCGCATAGCCAACAATAGACGACGATGGGCCCAACTACAAAAAGAGTATGTGAGCGAGGCTACACCATAATAGGAAATGGTTGAATAAGCTGAAAATGATGATGATAATGATGATTTTTTGTGTTTTGTCAGCCACTTACTATTATTGTTAAATGCAGTATTGTCTTTATTTAAATGCACTCTTCGAACGTCCAATGGATCTGGCAGCTCTATAGAGTCAAAGAGACAAGCAAAACAGATAAAAGAAAATGTGAATCATAGACAACGGAATTGTGCAATGAAAATGCCATTTTATTTAATTTACGAAAGTATGGTCTCTGATTTAAAAAAAAAACACTTTTCCAGATAAAAGCAAAAAAGTTTAATTGGTTCATTTCTTAAGATGTGTCGTTTTCTAAACGTGGGTCCGTGTTTTTCGACTCTTTTCTTTGTCTCTTTTTTATTTTGGACTCGTTCGTGATCTATTCGGTACGTGTCGGGCGTGCTGGGAACGACTGCGACTGCAGCAGTCGCTTTTTGTGGCGGCAAATCGTGCAGAAGTTTTCTTGAAATTAATTTTTGATGCCGTTCTTTTCCGGGCCTTCTCTCTATATAAGCAGCTTTTCGGGAATATCTCCTCGTACAAAAGTATATAACGAATACAACGCCGATATCGATACAACGCTAGTCCATAAATAATTCTATTATATTATCCGGATATTTTGAGCAAATAATTTCAACTAAACAACTTGGTGCAAATATCTTTAGATTATAATATTATAATCTAAAGATATTTGCACTGTTATATATTTAGATTAAGTTATTCTATTTATTGTTTTTGTTTGCTCTTTTGTGAGCTAAGATATTCGCCCATTCACGGTCGAAAAGTGTTAGTACATTCAACAAGGCCCTTATTCTTACACCACCAACATCAGCACGAATGAACAGTAAACGATCGTATTTAGATTACTTTTAAACTGAAATTATTCACAGTATAAATCAAATCCATTAAATACATACACAACAGAACAGAATTACAACAGGAAAATAAAATAATATGATTTAGTTAACATTAGTTAAATAATGAGGAAACATTTACTTTACCTTTAATAACATTCTTTGTCACAAAACTTACGGACCAAAATAACATCAATGCATCTCGAACGATAGTTTTAAAGCTATTACTTAACACCTATTATCTCTGTAGTCTAATTTCCTTTCTCTGGTTTTGTGAATAATATTTTAAAAATCAATAATTTTATTTATGTATACTGTCTAAAAACTGAATGTCATGAATTTAGAGAAATATTTTTATTTTTAAATAGGCGGTTCACCTCAGTAGGCACCTTAAATCTCATTCAAATCGGAATATCGTTCTTAAAATATCTTAAAAATATGTTTATTTTTTTAAAGTTTCATGTCCCCTCACGGACAAACGATGCACATTGTATAGAAGTAAATTGTGTCTAATAAACTTACTTAGTTCTGTTTCCACCGCATATTGGGTCACCCTGTATATCTAAGTTTTGTGATTTTAGCTAATATTTAATAAGTTTGTTCTCTTTCAGCAAATGATGTAGCGAACATGTATTAATTTAATTCCAGGAGAAAAAATCAACATTTTTTTGTCATTCTTTCTGTTCTCTATATACTAATTACACATTCTTCTTTCTCTTTAACCTTTCCCTAGATGCGCAACCTGGGCTTCGGCGGCAAGACCTGTCTGGACTCGCCGGCGCGCAAGGGCGACCTGCACAAACCGGCCGGCCTCTACCCCTGCCACCGGCAGGGCGGCAACCAGGTAAACATTTGCTTTTTTACGCTTATTCACGCGCGCCGTTTCCGTTTCAGATCGCCAACCGCGCGCACGCGCTGTGCCTGGACAGCGCCAACCAGCCGGAAAACGTCAACAAGCCGGCGGGCTTGTGGCCCTGTCACAGGCAGGGCGGCAACCAGGTAACGGGACGGAGGAGGGAGACGGTTGAGGAAACTTGCTCTTTCTCTCTCTTAATCTCTTGCCTGCTGTCACACCTCTTTTTTTCTCTCGTTTCTCTTGACGGTGATAATATTTTTTGTGTCGGTTATTTCTCGAGACTTGGTTTGGCTTTTGTGTCAATGCAGAAAAGTAATTTGGTGACAATACTACAGGGTGCTATAGGTGCTACTCTCATATTATGACGCGGAGGCTTGACCTGTAATTTTAAGGGCATATGCAGATTAATTATTAATTTAGATCATTTTAATAATTAATTTAGATCATTTCAGTGAATTCTATAGGATGTCCCCAAAAAAGATTAAACTTCAAAGTAGTATTTTTTGTAATAGCAGTTTTTAAAACCTATACAAGGTGGTCCAAACTGTATTGCGGAAACTTCAGCAACTATCTAGATAAAAATAAGTAAAAAAAGTTAAAAGTTTGTATAAATGTATGTCTTAAAATGCTTAGTTTTGGAGATACAGGGTGAAGTTTTATTTTTACTTCGATTTGTTCCAAATAATTTCTGAAGTAAAGTCAATATTTGGATGAAAATCTGGGAGTTTTTTGACATGGGAAATTTGATTTTGATGTTAATATGACTTCTACTATAGTCTATAAAATGAATAACTTTGAATTTTGACCGTTATTTTTTCCCAACATGGCAAATATAAAATCCCTCTATCAAAAAAGTTACTGATATTCTTTAAATTGAGTGCCTGAACGAATCAGATAGGTAACTCTTTTTACTTTCGTGAAATAGAAAAGAAAAATAATAAAACAAGTGACAGTTCTTCCTCTTCTTGCAAAAATCAACACGAAATGTCATAATTGTCAAAAGTAAAATGTCATCAGCTTTTGACATTTCTAAATATCAGACCAATGCCGTCTCTAATAGAACAGCCACGGAGCGAGATTTATGACGTCACGCTAGTTAGATACTACGGATTAATAAATATGTTGTAGAATACATGGAAAACATAATTATTCCTCGTATTTTTGGTTTGTATTTTAAAAATGATATAGTTTACATGAAATATACATAATAATACAGTTAATAAATACAATATATATACCTATTTATAGTAATAAATACTTTGGCAAATAAACTATGAACCATACAAATGCAACAAATGTTTTACAATATACAAATAATGAATAGGTATATAAGATAATGGGTAAAATGTAAAATATATTTTAAATTTTGGGGTTTGAAAATCGATCTAATTTAACAAAAAACATGCAATATCTTCTAATAGTGATGTATTGTTATTAATGTTCGAAAAATTATATTTGCAAATAATACAATATCATAGAAAAAAAGGCGTCAGCGATGGCTATGAAATAAAGATCGCTGTTATTTTATATGTAAAATTATTCTAAAATTTTTGATTTTCTTGGGATTTAGGTTCGGGAAAAACGCTGATTAAGTTTTCATTTGGTTTTTCATTATTTTTATTTGGTTTAAAAAAAAAGTTTCGGCTAACATTATAGCCTTCATCAGTGTTGTGTCATATGAAAAAAATTGTGTCGAATATAATCCAAAAAATTACATATAAAAAAAAGTTTTTCTTCGAAAAAAAAGATGATAAAACAGTTTCTGTTGAACTTTTGGCACAAAAACATTTAAAATTTATGATTTCAATCTAATAACTATTTAGCTAACATGTTTAATTTATGTCAATGATGGCAGGTATTGATCATTTAGATTCAAAATCTCGAGAACCACTTGTAGCGATTTTTACCAAGAGGCCTTTTTTACACAAAAAACATCGTAAATGTATATTTTTTTACTCAGTAGTTTTATACAGATACGGACGAAAAGTTATTAGTCTTCAAACCAGTTAAATATATAATATGTAGGTGGCGCCCTCTACAGCAAGAGTATTATATCATATCAAAATCGAATTTCTCATGTCAAAAAACTCCCATATACCAATTTTCATCAAAATATTGACTTTACTTCAGAAATTATTTGGAAAAAAACATTTCAATATCTATTAAAAAAAATTCGGCAAACGGCTTCCAAAAATGACAGAAAGCACCATCTGCGTTTGAATTAAGATGACAGTCCACAACTGTCACTGTTATGTCACCACTTGTTACTATAATTTCTTAGATATTTTCTAAGATGCTAAGACATTTGCAAAATAATTTACCACAATACACCTAAACTTGATTTTTACAATAAACACTTTATTTTTACAATATTTCGTTTCGCTAACCATGTTAGCATCATCAGCAAATGACTAAAACTCAGTTTTGATCATCTGCTGATGACGCTAACATGGTTAGCAAAACGCGCGTCTGGTGAAAACTAAAGTATTTAGGTGTATTGTGGTGAATTAGTGTTTTATTTTGCTGTTGTAACACTAAAGGTTCCAACCCTCAACTGTAATCCTAAGACATTTATTAATAATAAAATTTTCTGAAAAATTGACAATAAACTATTTTCTATATGTATTAAATTATCTGGAATACACTGTATATGCACACGAAAAATGAGGCAAAAAATTGCCAGCACATCACTGCTGCATCAGTCAGAAGCTCAAGCGAATCACAAAATTCAAATAGACAACTTAATAATTCTTATCGTTTATTGTGCAACGTAAATGCTACATTTTTGCGGTTTATCCTGAAATTTATGAAGAGAACGTAATCTAAACGTACTATAGAATAGCTGGAATATAGTGTGCATAAATAAGATTTAGTAGGATAGTAAAAATAAACAAAAAAAACTGCTATACATGGAAAAATAAACAGATTTTTTTACATTTTAGATGAATATAAATTTGTTTTCTTTTGTATTTAACGCTTTAATGTGTTTTTTTTATTAGTAGTTTAGTTTTTGTTTTCCCTTCGACAATTAAAGTGCCAAAAAGTCTTGAGAAATAACAAATCCGCCTAAAATATAATTTTTGTTCGTGAAAATTTGTGTTTAATTGGTTGGGGTTGCTATTATTTAACCAGGTGCAAGAATCCAGATATATAAATATGATATTTATTACCAGGATTGTATATATTATTTTTATATTGTAACGTATATTTGATACTATTTATATTTAGACTGATACAGAATTGATTAGGTACAACTAGAATGTTTTATGTATATAAAAATGTCTTTAACTAAACAATACTAACTGGTAAGTTTTAAATTTAATTTCATCTTTATTTACTAAATACCTTGTTGTATATAATAATTGTCGTATATTAAAAATTAATTTAATATGTATATATAATTTTATATTTTTAATATAAAAAGTTGGTAATAGTGAAACTACAATAATATCATTTGATTTTTTGAGAAACTTTTAGCTTCTCGTTTTTCTCGGGAGTTTAGAAACAACGCCATCTAGTGACCACTACGACAGTCATTGCGGTACAGTTTATGCCTGAGCAGGTAGAGCAAAAGAAGAAGTAAAGTAAAGTAAAGTAAATATTTTAGTGAACGTCTCCTTTTTGCTGCCAGGGCTAATCTGGACGGGGCCTACTTTGTTTACGCGGAATCCGAACCGCAGTCCTCGGCCATATCATGGTGAATAGCTTACCGACTTGGCAAGTGTCTAAATCGACTCTTACTCACGAGATATCCGATCTCATCCGGCCTCGAACCGGCATGAATGAGTAGTGTGTATCAATAGATCTTACACTTTTGCCTTTTTTTTGGATAACAGCACGATACAGAGTTTCGAACCGGTCACCCGTCCATTCACTAGTATCGCCTTCCGTCGCTTAACTTCGGTGTTCTAATTGGAACCGGTGTTTCGACGTAGCTGGGCCGTTGCCCCTATAGAAGAACTGTGATATTAACAATAATGTACAGGGTGGGTCAAATTCGACGCTTTTAAATGGAAACACCCTTTTCTATACGAGATAGACGAAAACTAATATCGGTGTCTGGAGCTCAATTTTCATCAAAAACAAGGTGGTGAAAACCGCACATCAATATCTGTTACCGTTTCGGAGTTACGGGGTGTTTTTCAAAAAGTGCATTTTTAACAAATCTCTGTAACTTTTTTGTTATCGAAAATTTTGTATTTCTATAAAAACATTTCCAAAGCACCTTTTTACCTAGACTTTAATGGTTTAAGTATATTTTTTTTTAAATTAATAATATAAGAGTTATCAACAGAAAAATTGATTTTTTATTTGGGACACCCTCTATATTTTTAATTAACTGAAAAGAATTTAAAATTACCTTTCCAATAATATAGCACACTTGATATTTTGTTATAATCCCCTTCGAAATACAGAATTTTTAAAAGTTCGCCACTTTTAACTAGTAGGCTTTGGACCCTTTATTGATGATATGCCCTTAATGGAACTCGAAAACATATTTTTCCAGCAAGACGATGCACCGCCTCTGATCGCTAAAGTTATCAGCAAATTTTTGCATCCAATTTCAAGAATAATTGAATAGCCAACCAAGATTCCAGCCGTTGGCCGTCGAGGCCGTATGACTTAGTGCCCATGGATCTAATCCTATCGATATATTTGCGGAAAAATAAAGGTTCCTTATTCTTCCGCATAATCAGTGGCGGATACAGGGGGAGAGCCCATGGGGCCCGGGCCCCCCCTAAAGTCTGTGAATTGTGTAAAATATTAGGCTTTTGGGTTAAAAATAGCACCCTAAAAACATATTCTACATTGCTTTTCATTTTGGGCCCCCCTTAAAATAAATTTCTGTATCCGCCCCTGCGTATAATCTAGACAAAAATTAGAAATACTTAGCAATTATGAGAGGGTATCTTTCACCCCCACTGAGTTAATGAATTCCGCGAGAAATGTTCAAAAACTGCCCCGTCTGTCCATAACAGAAGACGGTCGATATGTCGAACAAAAAGTCGAGCAAAATCTCATGTCTTGGTTTGCTATTTATTTTTCTTCGTTATTTATTAGATATAGTTTAAATGTGTTGATGTTGATTAAATATATTTTAAATAGTTATAAAATTTTGCATCTCTCATAGCAAATATTATTT